CACTAGTGAGGCCTCACTTGGAGTACTGTGTCCAGTTTTGTGCACACTTCAAGAAAGATTTGGACAGACTGTAAGGAATCCAGCAGAGAGCGGCAAAAATAATTAGATGCCTGGAAAGCATAACTTGGAAGGAAAGGCTGAAAGACCTGGGGTTATTTAATTTGGAGAAGAGAAGACTGAAGGGGAGATAAGCCTTTAAATACCTGAAGGGAGAGGATGGAGATTAGCTTTTTCTCTGTGGCGGTAGGAAACGGGACTAGGAACAATAGATTCAAGCTGCCACAGAGGCAATTTAGGTTGGAAGGAGGAACTTTCTGAGTGTGAGGATGGTCAGGCATTTATTTGGAGGAGTTGTGGAATTTCCATCCCTGGAAATTTTGAAGAGCAGGTTAGACAGACACTCAACTGGGATGGTTTATGTTTCTCCCTTTGAGCAGATGGATGGGCTAGATAACCCCATGAGGTCCCTTCCAGCCCTGCTTTCTTATGATCCTGCTGATCTAGATAGAGGAATTTTATTTTATTTCAAATGCTGTGAGAGATGATGATTTTTGACTCTTAACAGCAAAAATCATTCTGGTTAGAAAATCTGATGTACGTAACTCTTTTTGGTAACTAACTTAAGACATTTATATAACTTTTTTACTTTTCCATTTCCGTTGTTCTGAAATGCCATCTATCAGAGGTTTATAATTTGAAATCTATGTCCAGCTTTGGTCAGAACAACAAGCAATTAAGTTTATAGTAAATACGTATTTAAATACTGTAAGTGTGATAAAGAGCCCTTCTGTTTTGCCATCTCTCTAATTCTATTTTAGTTTTAGTGTTTATGAGAGAAACTTAATTTAAATTTACTGACCACCCCTGCGAGAACCCTGCTAAGTTGTGTAAAATTCCTAAAACTAACAACTTTTGGTGATCTAATTAATAGATGCACTGTGATATGCTGTACTGTAGCATATATAACCTTCTGTTAAAGGAACAAGATTAAACTGCAGCTCAAGATTTTTCTTATTTGATTTATGAACAAGTGGGGAGTAGATGGATACTTTTGTACCTTTTTCAAGGTAAACAAGCTTTCAGAGAGTATGTTGTAGGATCAGTGGTGTCAGTGTAAATGCTCCCAAGGAAATCAGTGGTTAACTACTGATGTACATTATTGCACTGCTAACTTTACATAATGAAGCATTAACTGACGACAATGGTCAGAAAAGATTAAATATTGCTAGGCCCAGATAAATCTTTGACTTTTCCATGCAGAAAAGTTACACTAATATTTCTTTTACTAATGCAACCCAATATGTTGTTAGCCTTCTTAGCAACAAAGGCACGCTGCTGATTCATATCCAGCTTATTGTCCCCTGTAACCCCCAGGTCCTTTTCTGCAGCACTGCTGCTTAGCCTTTCAGCCCCTAGCCTGTACTGGTGCATGGGGGAAATCTTTTGTCTGAAGTGTAGGACTTTGCACTTGTGCGTGTTGAACCTCATGAGATTTCTTTGGCTCAACCCTCCAATTTGTCTAGGTCACTCTGAATCCTACCCCTACCCTCCAGTGTATCTGCTGTACCCCCCAGCTTGGCATCTTCTGCAAACATGTTGAGGGTACAGTCCCATCCCATCCCATCCCATCTTCCAGATCATAAATTAAGATATTGAAGAAGAATTATTCCTATGGATATAGTGAACTCTTCTTACTCTGAAGCACGTGGGGGAAAGTAATAGATGCCAGCAGTGTCCCTTAGAATTTTAGGATATCTTACATGGGCAGGTATTGAAGTGATTAATATCTGATGTTTTGGGAAAGGTGTGTGATAAGAACAGAGGAATGCAGGTTTTAGTGTCTTGTCAAGTTTGTTGTAAGGGTCCTGGGCTAGCTGATTATGCCTGTGACTGTACAAAAAACACATTGTCTTGTTTTGAATTTGAGACTCTTGGTCTTTTAAGTTTTATTGTTCTCACAATTTCTAATAGTCTTGAAAATATTTTGGCAGATCTATCTTGATTTCAGTATAAGAACTTCCTAGAACTTTTTAAATCTGATATCAGGAGTTGATGAAAAAAATTTTTTTTGGTGCCTTTCTTTACTCTGTCCTTGCCTCCCCCCCACAAAACAAAACAAACCCAATCCCCTTCTCTCCCTCGAATTCCCCCTCCCCCCCCCCCGTTCCTTCTTCTTTTTCTCCCCCCTTTTAAC